ACAGCGCAGCTCCGACGCGGACTCCACACGCACGTACTCCAAGATCTGCAAAAGTGAAGAATGACGAAAAACAGACAACTGCTGGGGTATACCCCCAGCGGACTGACTGACTGGACTGGACTGGCCTGGTACCGACAGTGGTACCGGGCAGGACTAGGACAGCACACGGCCTGTCGGGTCAGGCCACGGCCTGGTCCCACAGGCCGAGCTGGGCAAATAGCCAAATAGGCCCTGGCTGTAGGCCAGGGCAGATGAAGGCCCACTGCAATGCTATTCTGCTGCCTGTGAAAGTGGGCCAGAAGGCATCACGCACCATTCGCAGGTCCCGGACCTTATACCTTGCGTGCACAAGAGCGATGAGTGTTCTGCGTCCTCGTGTGTGACTGACGGTATGTGTTCCAGACAATAAATACAGAAGCCTAGGGGGGAGTGGAGCACGGTCGCTCTTCGATGGATTTACTGAATAACAACCAAACGGCTCCCCTCCTCGTATGTTGGGGAGAACCCATACCCTGAAAACTTTGGGGGGAAGAGGAAGGCCACTCTTATTTATGTATTACCCAGTCCTTGACCCCCACAGAGGGTCCACTGATTAAAACCTGTACCCCTTGAGAGCTGTTGTATAGCTTTCTGTAATTTCAACGACTTTCTCTTTCTCCAGTTTACTCCCTTTAGAGCTTCTGCAGTGTAGCTTTTTCCATGTTCCAGCTGAAGATTCGTTCTCCTTTTCCCCACTTGGGCCTGTCTCCACTCCTCAGCACCTGTGCACAATGAGAATGAATCTTCTGCTAGAACGTATCTGTTTCGCCCTTTCCCGTGTTCTGCACTACATATTCCAGAACTGGCCCACGGTCGCAACGCCTTGCAACAACCAAGTGCCGCACGGCCCGTGCTGGGCCGGGCTCCGAAAGATTGGCCCTCTGTGCCCATAATGTGAGGGTTTCCAAGGAGGGGTACCATGGTCGATATCTCTCTTCCCATCTCAAGGGAGGACTTGTTTCCCTGTATGTGATATTTACCTGCCAGAATCCATTTTTGGAAAGGTTGGAGTCTGCGATGTA